CACCCTCTCTATGCTCACTGCCGACAGATGGACTGCTCCATTCGGTGTCTCAGTGTTGTGTCCATCGAAACTATGTTGCCTGACATAACAAGTAATCCCAAATCATCATAATAAAGTCCCCTCGACTAATACTGCGCCAGCATTGCTCTGTCTTGATTGAATCCCTTTCACATGCTACCAGGTCTAGTAGCTTTGAAGTATCTTAGCCCGTCTTGGGGCCAATAAGCTCTTGGTCTCGAATTACTATCTGCTTGCGATCGCCCATCGAATGCTCACGGGCCATCTATATAGAGGTTCAGTGCCAATTCAACTGAGGCAATCAGTGACATCTTTCTAGGCACTCCTCTCTAGGGCGAAAGCTATCACCCAAGCTCAATCCTTTCATTTGTGCTTCATCTGCCTCCCATGCAATCTGCTCCTGCAACGGACGTGATTAAAATTATTCTCTCCACCTCTGATCTACACTCCTTGCATACCTCATTACGTAGCATATCTCTATAATGACAAACACAAAAAGTACTGCTCCCTCCTGTATTAGCTTTATTCTCAACATGAAAAATTCACTCCACTATAGCTTTCTTCAAAGCCTTTATCTAGATATATCTCTTGTATGAATGTAGCTCACCTCTCGTAAAACTAACGTTTAACAATAGTCTCCAATCGATATCTAGTAATTTTGGCAGACTGGATATATATTACACTATTTGTCACAGTATTTAGCATTTTCTACTAAAAACTCACTCTAACTGTATCTTTCTTCCAAAAATGTGTAATGATGGAGAACCATAACCACTCACTGATCTACGGTAAAGGTTAACCATTGTGATCACACATTTACGCAAACACTTTAATAAACTGATTAGCCACTCATTGAGCATGCTCGCGCGTCCTGATTAATTTATTCACTTTAAAGTAGAGAACTTCTGGATTTTCTAACTCCACTGTACAAGCTCCTTAATAAGAATGCTTTCTTACTAAGTATACCTACAGGTGGAACATTAACAATTACGTTTCTTGCTCAATTGCAATTATTGTCTTTTCCTAGAATTTCATTTCTAAATTTTGGTTATGAGAGAAAACTATGTAGATTTACATCTATTAATTAAAATGTAAAACTTGCCTTCTTTGGTTTAGCTTTCATATCTCAATTCATAGAAGAATACTTGTTACTCTTGTCATATTCTTTCA